GCGTTGTTCAAAGCCATTGTCAGTACTGTGGGCTGAGCACAACTAAAGGTTAGATTCTAAAGCCGTCCCTGTGCTCGACATAAACATGATCTAGAAATGTACCGTGCTATCCGGTTGTTTGACTTTCATACACAAGTGGGTGTTTAAATTTTTTGCGGATTCTATCCCTCTATCTATCTATCTATCTATCTATCTATCTATCTATCTATCTATCTATCTATCTATCTATCTATCTATCTATCTATCTATCTATCTATCTATCTATCTATCTATCTCTCTATCTATCTGTCTGTCTGTCTGTCTGTCTGTCTGTCTGTCTGTCTGTCTGTCTGTCTGTCTGTCTGTCTGTCTGTCTGTCTGTCTGTCTGTCTGTCTGTCTGTCTGTCTGTCTGTCTGTCTAGCTCTTTAGCTCTCTAGCTCTCTCTCTTTCTCTCTCTCTATATATATTTTCGATCTCTCTCTCTCTTGATCTCTCTCTCTCCTTTCAGTGTAAGCAAATATGTTTATTTGATTAAAGCATAAACTTTTAAAAGAACATTATTGCTACATCGTCTGCAGTATTGATGTGAAAACAAAGGGTTTTTAAACATCGGTAATTTTCAGGATCATGCACACACAGTGACTAAAATAAAAAAGCAATAATGTTTTAGCCATGGTGTGTGCTCGTTCATTTGTCTATTCAGCTCGTAAGAATCCCTGAACAGCCATTTGATTTTAAACATAAAAATTCATATGACTCAGTCAATTTGACATATTAAGCTAAAAAACAGCTTCAAACTGCTACATTGTTTGCACAGTGCCGGTACTTTCACTTGAAATTTTCCAAAATGACAGCGATACGATTGAAGAATGTGATTTTTCAGCACATTTGTAACTAAATTTTGGATTAGACTTTAAAAACATTTTGCTGCCACGTAACTAAGAATGCTGAACTTTTCCGCCCACAGCTCCTAACATCCGAACTTGGCGTGCCGACAAGTGACAGCTGAGCCTCTTCACAGGTCAGTAGTAACACACATCTCGGGAACTTTACTGACGCCGCCTTTCCTGCGAACCTACAAACAAACGAGTCTGTGATTTCTGAATGAGTGCAGCGAGGCGACGAGCCGTGCTGATCGATACGAGCGCCGATGCCAAAAGCATCAGCACAAACAGAGCTGTTTAAGCTAAAGCAGGTCAGCTGTAAATACTGAGGCGTTGACATTTTGGAAGCTGTACGTGCACGTTAGTAGCAGATCAGTAAAGGTCACAGGTATTCTAAAGGTCATGCATTTCTGACCCGTGTTTAACATTTTGAAAATACAAATTAAACAGATTAAAACATTAATAATTATCTATCTAAGACTTTTTATGGAATTTGAACGGTAATTAAGTGGTTCAACCCTTTAGCAAATCACCTATGGTTTATTGTACACAAACTTTATTATCCCTGTGAATATTATTGTGTGACTGTTTATGAAGCATTCACACTATTGTGAGCCATTTTTTTCCATACATTGTTATGCATCTTTCTTGTTCCGCAATTTTTGTGCTATTTCAACAAATCATAAATCAAAACGTTCAGCTCGTTCAGGTGCTATGACTTTTGGTATCGGTGCAACTTTAGCTTTTTGAAATATTTAGCCTTTTCAGCCATTGTTTTCTCATAGAAATTGAATTGAGCTCATTTTACATCCTTCAACTCTTTAGATCTGTTTACAACCTTTTACTGCTCCTTTCACATTTTGTTCTGCTTCAGCTTTTTTCAGCTTCCTTCTCCAAATTCAAACTTTGTCAGCTAATGCCAGCTGTATTTTTTTCAGCTGTTTTGCGCTCCTTTCAGATTCTTTCTGCTAACAACATTTTTGTGCTTTTTCTAACTTTTCCTGCTAATTTCAGCTTCCTTCCTAAACAGCTTCCTTTCAGCTTATTTCTGCTAGTTTCAACTTTTTCCTGCTATTTCAGCTACTGTTTGATGCTAATTTTAGCTTTTTCAGCTAATTGCACATTTTTTTGCACTCGTCAATTTTTTTCTGCCTAATTCAGCAAAAATGTGCTCTACTTTGGGTAATTTAAATATCTTTCTGCATTTTAGCTACTTTTCAGTAATTTCAGCTTTTTTCAGACAATTTCCACTTTTTTGTGCTCGTATCTGCTTCTTTCATCCTGATTGGGCAAACGTGTTTTTTTGTTTTTTGTAATTTAAGCTTTTTCTAGCTTTTCAGCTACCTTATCTTTTTCTAGCTAATTCAGATAAATTCAAGATTTTTGTGGTAGTTTCTGATTCTTTCAGCCTAATTAACTTATGTCTGCTAATTTCAGGTTGTTATGCTCCTTTAAGCTTTTTTCAGCTAGTTTCATATTTTTCTACTATTTAGCCGTTTTTATGTTAATTTGAGCTTTTTCAGCTAATTCCAAAATGTTTTGGCTCATTTCAGCTCTTTCCGCTTCCTTTTGGTAGTTTAAGCTTCTTTCTGCCTTTCAACTACTTTTCAGCCGTTTCTTTTTTCTTTGTTTGTTTATGTTGTTGCTAATTTAAGCTTTTTCTTTTTTAAGCAAATTCCCTAAATTTTGTGCTAAGTTATGCTTACTTGAACATATTTCAGTAAATGTGTTCTTTTTCTTCTGCTAATTAAGGCTTTATTTCAGTCACATTTCAGCATATATTTTTAGCTAATTTCAACAGTTTTTCAGCAAGTTCTTCTTCAATAAGCGTCCACACTGCATTTCTGCAGGAAATGCAAAGCTCTAGTTATTATTAACTCATCCTTCCATTATCAGCACTCGTTTGAAGCAGCTGTGCAGTCGTCGTTGCTTCAGGGAAATGCTGCATTTCAGTGAAGCTGCTTCTTACAGAATCATGCGAATAACATTTTTTTAAATAAATGTCTTACCAGTGGCAGACTACTAAATGGTTCACTTTATCTCTCCATTTAGAGCTGTTTTCTTTCACAACACAGTTCTGTGTTTTTATCTAAGCTTCTCGCCGATTTGTACCGGCTCTGCTAGAAAAATGTCATGCGCAACCATATTCAAATTAAAATGTGTTTACTCCTATTGATATCTACACGTGCCTGTCTGCTGTCAATTTGACCCTGTCGACAAATTATTAAAATCCCACGTATTATCAGTGGCCACATGTTTATTTGAATAAGGTGCTAAATTCATGTGTCACATCACAGATGGGTGAAAATACAGACGCTCGGTCCTCAGTCTCTAAATTATTTTGGTTTAATTAAATGGAGAATTGTGTCTGCATCTGCAACTGTGCTGTGTTGCCATCTCTTCTACGGACAGTAACTCTCAGCTGGCCTAAAAGCTACTAAATAGCATCATCACCTGTCTTGCGTTATAGGCCACGTTCATGTAATTGTAATGGACACTATGGTGGGGAGGATAAACTGTGGGAAAAATAAAATACTCCCTAAATTATATTAAATATTAGCCACACTAAACCAAACTTCTGTTGCTACTTTTATGTTGAAATTCCAGTGAAAGTGCTATATGATGTACCATAGTTTTTAAATGTCCAAATATACAAACGTTTCAGCGTTTCCGTGCACAGAAAAAAAAAAACTTTCTCACGCAAACACCCACAAATCATCAGCAAAGTTGCTTGCCTGCCAAACATGCAACCCACCCCCACCCCTGCTTGGCACGTTTGCTGCCATTTGCAACACATCTCCCCACCACCGTCCAGATGAACAAGAAAGTATGTGCACCCCCCACCACCAGAAACTGTGCACTCTTACTTCTAGAGATGAGATAAATGGCTCTTTGATGGGAACCAGGTCTGGACGATGTTTGCTTCATAGAGAGGCTTAATTCTGAACGAGTGACATCATCACATAAGGATGTATGTCATTGCATACATGATAACATATATGCATACATGCTGACAACAGGGCCACATGATACATCAGGGCTGTACCATGTGCTTTGTCAAGTGGGAAGAAGATGCATCGGTTTGTTTGCATCAATAAAAATCCCATCCATCTATTAATTAAATTAGAGTCTGCAGGTTTGTTTGATACTTTACCTTAAGTATATTGAAAATACAGTATGTAGTGATGCTTGGGTACAAATAATGAAACATCTGTGCAGCTTCTTCATAGCACCATTTCTGCTTTAAGGCTGTAAAGTTGTCTTTATAGCGACACCTACAGGTTAGGAGTAGAACTGCAGCAGAGCTGGTTAAAACCACAGCAAACTGTGTCAAGAGGTTACATTTTTCTTAGCAGTTATGAGGAACCTGTTTATGGAAGGTTAGCTCAGGGCTATTCAACTAAATTGCTCCGTGGGCCACAGTTACTGAAAGCCAAGAGCTTCGGGGTCAGACATCCAGCAGTTATTGTCATTAAGTAAGTTTGTTTTATGGTTTAAAATCTAATTTTATTTAAAAATGAACCCATTTGTGGGCCGAACTGAGCTCACCTGTGGGCCTGATTTAGCCCATGGGCCACCAGTTGAATAGCCCTAGGTTTGCTCGTTTTTATTGTTAAATATATTTTACACACGCACATTTAGCTGCACACTGAGTTGTGAAAGTGCTTACCTTATTTGCTATGAAAGTGTAATTTTAAAACAAAGAGTTTTGAACAGTTTTTTGGTATTAAATTAGTTTAAATGAAACTGTCATCCTTCTGCTTTGTTAAATTGAACGGCATTAAATCTCTGTGTCGAATCAAATTTATTTTGAATTGCAATGATTAGGGGTTGAATCATATTGTGTCATTCTGTTTGTTTTGCTGCTCATGTAATTTTAATGTGTTGTAATATTGTCAGTGCGTTGCGTCTCATATTGGCCACAAAGCAGAGAAGCACAACCTCTGGTGCATTTAGATTTTTTGTTAAGTCCTCTAGGACTCAGATTTCAGGATTATTGGATAATTTTTTTCATCTTCTATTCAATATTTTTTTTTAAAAACCCGACTCTACAGCAAAATGGATTTGGTTTGTGGATCATTTAGTAACTTTGTCAACTGCCATATTAGATTTTGTCGCAGGAAGTGAATATCCATCACACCTGCCCTGCCCTTACATAATGCATTAAAGCTTTTATTAAAGTTTTATGCAGCAAATGACTCAGATTTCTGGGTGAACCAGAAGAGAAATGTATCTAAAAAAGAAAATCTACTTGGGAAACCAACTTAAAGATGAGTCTATTTATGAACTCAGATGAGTCATTTTCTAGTAGAACAAACACAATACCTAATAACAACAACAACAAAAGTTAAATTATGTCATCTGGACCCGTTTCTTTAAGTGAGGAGTGTTTCGTGCCCCATCTAGAGGACTTCCTCAGTCTACGGCCTGCCAACCAGATACCACAATACAATACAATACAATTAATGTAATACAAAACAATGCAATACCTAATCCTTCAGGTTTTGAGTAGGAGAGAACATTTGTAAGCTGCACAAATATCTTTAGTTTTTTCTCCAGTGTTTTTTAGTATATGTATATGCATTCATATAATTATTGTCAAATGAATATTTATTTCTAATTAAATAAGTCACCATAGAATTCATCCATCCATCCATCCATCCAACATCTCTTTCCACCGCCACCTCTTCCAGCTCTTCTGGGAAGATCTCAAGGCGTTCCAAAGGCAACTGAGAGCCATAGTCTCTCCGGCATGTCTGAGGTCTCCTCCCAGTCAGACATGCCTGAAGCACCTCCCTAGGGAGGCACCCAGGAAGCATCCTTAACAGATGCCTGAACCACCTCAACTGGCTCCTCTCGATGTGGAGGAGCAGCGGTTCTACTCCGAGTCTCTTCCAGATAACTGAACTTCTCTCCCTATCTCTATTAAGGAAGAGTCCAGCTACCCTGCAGAGGAAACTCATTTCAACCGTCTGTATCCACGATCTCATTCTTTCAGTCACTACCCAAAGTTCGTGACCATAGGTGAGCGTAGGTACGTAGACCGACCAGTAAACAGAGAGCTTTGCCTTACAGCTCAGCTCCCTCTTCATCACAATATGTCACCACGGAATTAGTGAAATTGTTTTTTTTTCCT